TACTTGGCCATTTCTCTTCCATCGCCATGGCTCTGCTGAAAGTATTCTGGGAAGTTACCAATGATGCCTATTTGCTGACTATGTAGTTTCTCATCAGTCCTCTCATAACCACAACTTCTTAACTCTCCTATGGCAGGGGCCAAATCTACTTGCTCTTCCTCCTGGCACTCAGCTAGATGACATTTTGCAGTATCCTTTGCAGTGAAGTGTGGCTATGTGACTGAGCTTTCTCCAGTAGAAATGATCCATGCTGTTTCCAGGCCAGGAGCTTATGCTTCAGGGGCTTTGCCCCTCCTTTTGCTCCTCCAAGCTCTTTCCTTGGTTGTCTGGTATGGAGATCTACTCTCAAGGTGACACCAAAAAGTAAGGATTAAAAATGTAAAACCATCAATCTGGGTTCCTGAAGAACTTCATGGAACACAGCATCCTCCTGACCCCTACAGCCCCACACGAAGACACTGAACTGGACTTTTACAAAAAGAAGTAAACTTCTAGTGCTGAGCCACTGCATTTGGGTCTATTTGTTATGCATCTTGGTACGTCAGTAACTCAGAAATCCCTAATTTCTTAAAATGTCTTTTCTTCTGTTTCCATGACACTATCATCCATCGTCTTCCTTCTATCTCTCTAAATGTTCTTCTGTCTCACTTTTTAAACTGCCCAACCCTTACAATGGGGAATTTTCCCCAGGCCATCTTCTCTTTCAAACTCTTCTCACCTGGTATGTTTTTTCTGGAATGGTTTCCTTCTTCCCTATGGCTTAACCTACCACCAATCTGCTGATGGGCCCCAAATCTATCTCCATTACTTATTCCCACATTCACCAGGTTCCCACCTGAAAACTTCGCTGTGTGTAATCTCTTTAGTCAGTTACCCAGTCCTCCCACTTTAGGACCAACTTTAACTCCTCTTTCTTTCCAGTCTTTCATCCCTACTCAACCACTAAGACCTATTGATTACCCTTCAAAAATGTCTCACATAATGCTTCCCACAACCTCTCAGTCTCTCCATCTCTATTTCTACTACCTTAGTTTAGACCCAATCACTTCATCTTTGCAAGAAGTCTCCAAATGTTTCACTATTGCCTGTTTCTCTAGCCTGTCGCCATATCTTGGTCAGAATTTCTAAACAAAAACATGTACCTACTAATCTGACCATGAGAGACCTTCTCTGGTTCTCTGTTGTCATTCTAAACAATAATTATAGCTATTATTTAAGGAGAGCTTCCTATGTGCCAAGTACTATGCTAAATGTTTTAATAAAATAAATTTAGCATTTATCTCCTTTGTTCTCTGGACAATTGTTTTTTATTTGTTTGTTTTTTGTACTTTAGGTTCTGGGGTACATGTGCAGATCATGCAGGATCGTTGCATAGGTACATATATGGCAATGTGGTTTGCTGCCTCCATCCCCCAATCACCTATACCTGGCATTTCTCCACATGTTATCCCTCCCCAACCTCCCCACCCCCCGGTCTCACCCCAGGCCCCCCAACAGACCCCAGTGTGTGATGCTCCCCTCCCTGTGTCCATGTGTTCTCATTGTTGAACTCCCACTGATGAGCGAGAACATGTGGTGTTTGATTTTCTGTTCTTGTGTCAGTTTGCTGAGAATAATGGTTTCCAGATTCACCCATGCCCCTAAAAAGGACTTGAACTCATTGTTTTTTATGGCTGCATAGTATTCCATGGTGTATATGTGCCACATTTTCCTTGTCCAGTCTATCATCGATGGGTATTTGGGTTGGTTCCAGGTCTTTGCTATTGTAAACAGTGCCGCAATGAACATATGTATGCATGTGTCTTTATAATAGAACGATTTATAATCCTTTTTCTGGACAATTGTTGAAGTGGGCACTGGTATCCTCATTTTAGAAATTAAAACCCACCAATGTAGTATAAGTAACCTCGTTCTCAATCACAAAGTTATTAGTGGAGCTCAAATTCAAATATGATTCATTCTGACCTCAAGGCCTCTTGCTTAACACTGTGCAAAACTGCCTCCATCTTACACTAAACTTGTGTATAGCACATGAGGCCCTTCAGATTCCAGCCCAAACCACTAACTTCTTTATTTTCACCTCCACTTCTTACATTCTAGAAATCAGACCCACTGAACTTGTTACTGTCCCTCAAATGCTTTGCCGTTTCCACAGTTAAATAAATTACTTCCCCAGCATAGTCTTCAGCATGAGGCAAGTGCTCAAAGTATTTCACTTCCCCTCTTCTACTCCTCATGAATCGTTCTCATATGTATCCCGTTCCTTCTGCCTATAATTCCCTTTCCATCTTCAATACCCAGCATATTCTGAAACAGTTTTCAAAAGTCAGTTGGAATAGTTTTCCTCCACTGTCAAGCCTTCCAGACAGATTGCTCTGGAAAGAGTTTCTTGCACCTCTCGGTTCCCATAGCAGGCCTTTAATTCCTTCATCGTAGTCTTTAGCCTCTCATATTGCAATCAATCTGTCTCCTATTATTCATCTACTGTAAACTCACTAGGGTCAGGGAACACTTTATTCCTGTCTTTATCTATGGCCCTTTACATACATAACAGGTCCTCGAAGTCTAATTGTTGAATGAATAGTATATGAATGAATGACATAAGCACTTTTCATAAATGCTCATTGTTAATTAGGTCTCTTGAGACCTAATCCTAGCTGCTGTTATTATTTTACATAATTGAAAAATGTGCTAAGCATCCCAAAAGTCACCAAAAATCAGTTTCGAGCTGTGCTGATCAATACAGTAGGCACTAAGCCATATGTGGCAATTGAGCACTTGAATTATGGCTAGTATAACTTGAAATGAGCTATAAATATACAGAATTTTAAAGACAATTTTGTAAAAAGAATGTAAAATATTTCATTAGTAATTTTTATACTTATTACGTACTGAAATATTTTTGATGTGTTAGTTTAAATAAAATATATTATTAAAATTAATTTCCCTAATTTCCTTTTGCTTTTCTAATGTGGTTATTTTTTAAAAAATTAAAATTACATATATGGCTTGCATTATATTTCAGTTGGACAGCACTGATTTTCAGTTTCTAATTTTATGAGGGATGTTAATGAGCTTGGGTAGGATAACATTGAGTCAGGAAACTCCTTTCTCTCTCCTCCAAAGCCACATTATCAAAGACAAGAGGGAAGGAAGAAAGGAATGAAGGAAGAAGGGAGGGAGGAAAAGAAGGGAGAGGGAAAGAAAGAAGGAACTAGAGAGACAGAAAGGAAGGAAGAAAGGGTTAAGGAAAAGAAGGAAGGAAAAAAAGAAGTTAGTTCCAATTTAACTTAACAAATAGCTCAGAAAGCTAATAGAGCGCATGACTACACACCTGGACGATAAAGATCATCTTTTCAATCAAAAACAACAACTATTTAGTCTCTTTCATATAACATTAATTTTATAACTGTTAATCAAACATCGAGAAGGCCCTAGATATGTCTAGACTTTAATTCAGACAGTGGAAAATTTAAAAATAGCTAATACACTAGAACTTTCTAAGGAGGGCATTAGCCAGAAGAACTCAGAATGAGAAGGGGCATTATACTTTATTAACTTTATAATGTCTGATATTTATTGGATGCCACTTCAAATTCGTACTAAAGAGAGCCAGAAAAGGATGGCAGGGAAGGGGAGGGAGAGGAGGGGAAGGAAAGAGGAGATAAAATAACAGCAAAGAAAAAAAAGGGAAGAGGAAAGGAGAAGAGGGAAGGAAAACAGGAGAAGTTAAGAGTCCACACTTACATTTTATAACAATCATTAAAGTGTATTTTCTACTGGGATAAAGACATAATTGCCAGCTTTGGCTCCATGGTTCTTAGAGGTCCTCTAGCCTAACTCTTAGCCAGTTATTGAACTCTGCTCTGACAAGCTCAACAAATCTCTGGAATACAAGCTGTGGAAATTTTAATATCTGCTAAGTTCAGTTATCAGTACTAATAACACCTATAATTATGTTTCAGAATTAATTTTGAATTTTTTTTTTTTTCTGAGACTGAGTCTTGCCCTATCACCCAGGCTGGAGTACAGTGGTGTGATCTCGGCTCACTGCAACCTCCGCCTCCCAGGTTCAAGTGATTCTCCTGCCTCAGCCTGTGGAGTAGCTGGGATTACAGGCACGTGGCACCACACCCAGCTAATTTTTTGTATCTTTAGTAGAGATGGGGTTTTACCATGCTGGCCAGGCTGGTCTTGAACTCCTGACTTCTTGATCCACCCACCTTGGCCTGCCAAAATGCTGAGATTATGGGCATAAGCCACCGAGCCTGGCCTAATTTTGAAATTTCTTAGCAAATAGGATTATATAACTATCATTACTATATATAACTATCATTGCTATCTTAAATTAGATGCATTTTATGGAAATTATAATATTAGTGGTTTTATTACACAAATAAAATTTCAGAAAAACTTGACTATTTAGTAAATATTTCCTATAATGGTTACTACAGTTGTGACATGGTATGGTACAAAAATAGTGGTCAGAAAATTCAGAGATTTGGGATCTTTTCAGCCTGGCTTTTTTTTTTTTTTTTTTTTTTTTTTTTTTGTGATGGAGTCTCGCTTTTGTTGCCCAGGCTGGAGTGCAATGGCGCAACCTCCCAAGTAGCTGGGATTACAGGTGCCTGCCACCACACCCAGCTAATTTTTCGTATTTTTAGTAAAGATGGTGTTTCACTATGTTGGTCACACTAGTCTTGAACTCCTGACCTCAGGCGATCCACCCGCCTCAGCCTCCCAAAGTGCGGGGATTACAGGTGTGAGCCACCATGCCCGGCCTTCATTTTTATACTTTTAAGACAAAAGGTAGATAATTCTTTAATGTAATTCAAGTCACAATATTCATTTCTATCTCAGATTTAAAAGCCTTAAAAATTCTCTTCAGTTTTCCTCCAAGTTAATAAACAGCGTTGTTTAGAAGAAAGGAAGAAAAAAGAAAACAAAAAGCCCCTGAGGTTGCTACTATAGAATCAAAGCATGAAAAAATAGTTTCTTACCACTTCTCAGCTGTTCAACCTCACAGAAGTGTGTTCCAGTGGGAGTGTGAATAAATGCATGGACATGCTTAACTCCATTCTGAAAATTAGGGAAACAAATTATTTCTAGGGAAAATTCAGTACTTGCCATAAAGCCAATTTCATTAATTAAACTGAGAGCACAAATAAGTGAGTTAACCTTTTCAAGCCGCTTCCAAGGGATTTCTTCCACATAGACTTGAGTTTGGATGACATGGTTAAAAGAAGAAAGAAAATGCTCACAAATATTCACAGCAAAGGTTTCTATGCTTTCGATCTGTAAAAAGAAACAAAATGCTTCAAACCAGAAATAATTGTCTCATTTAAAAATAATTTATAAATACTGTTAAATGAAATTATGGGAGGTCACTGCTTTGGACTAGGCTCCTGCATTAGGCCCCAGCAGACCAGACCAAAATGGAGTCGCTTAGGCTAAATGCCATATAATCAAACTGAAGCTTTAAGGAAGTAGATAGATACCAAAACAGACCAGTTTTTCCTGAAAACAGGAGATTCCAGTCTACCTGAGTCAGTCTAGTAAGGAAGTCCCCTCTGCTTTAACTCTTACCAAAAAGGTAACCTGAAACCTGATGTTAACCAATCAGGTTTTTTTGTTTGTTTTTTGGGTTTTTTTCCCCCCATTGTGCTGTTTCTGGTTCCCACCTTACAAAACCCAATGTTTTGTTCTTGCCTAGTAGGAGCTCTTATTCTTTTTCGTGGAATGGAAGCTGCCCCAATAGTAAATAAAAACCAATTCAATCTATAACTAAATTTATTATAATTTTGTCTTTTGATATTACTCATGACATTGTCTTTCCTGATGAATTGCTTTTTAGAATGAGACAAGCACAGAATAGAAAGAGTCTGTCTCAAGAGATAAAGGTGTTTATCTTTCAAAAACTACAGTAACATTTTTACTAAAGCTCACAAATGAAGTTAATAATCATCATCACCAGGTGAGACTCCTGTTTTTAAAAGAAACCCATCTTGCAGGAGAGGATGTGTCAGTGGATGAGCAAAAAGTAACTTAACATTCAGATTCTTTTCACAGTGAGCTCAGTCATCACTTGTACCAAACACAGCGCATCATGACACTCTGAACTCTATGAGATTTGCAAATGCGCTTCCGAGTTTCCCAAGGAAAATTGTTAATGAAGAGCCACCTCACATTTCTTGCCTTGCATACAGGCTTTCTATTGATCCCAGCTGTCCACCCACATAATGCAGCTTCCATATTAATCCCTAGGCAATATTTATGGTCTTAGGACAGTCTGCAAATTATTAATGGTTTGCCTATAATTAAACTTATTTGTACAGCCTTCCCCAGTATAGTTCTGTTTTATACTTGTTGGCCCAGAATAATTATGAATAACATCCTATTTTGAGCTCAAGTGTCCTGGTTTGGATAAGAAGTTATATGATCACTCTATCCATAATGAATGATTTTGAGTGAATTTTAACATTCAGGTCCATTCTTCACTTTTGTGCAAACTCCTAACAGTACAGGAAATATATGAATCTGTTGTACCTGGCCCTTGTCCATATCACAGTACAGGTCTACTTTCAAATGATTTTTTTAAAGAGTGCAATTCCTTTTTCCATAGCCCTGTCTATGTTTGCTGGCTCATTCTGATTAGCAAGAGAAAAGTTCAGGGTGGAAATAGGACTTGCAGAAATTATATTGCAATGTTTGTTCATTTAATGAATCATGGGTATGGTTATTTTTTCATGTTTTTCATGAAAAAACATGAGAAAAGCAGCTTTCCAGTCTAAATTTCTTGTTTTTTTGGACTTCTTGGCAAGTAAAAAAAAAAAAAAAAAAATCACCTTGAATTGCCCAGAAATCTGGGTGGCCTCACACAGCTTCACTCACACTTGAAGAAGCCAGATGTGGACATGCTAAAATATCAGTTCTATCAGATCTAAATCTCACTTGAAAAGTCCATTTAACCACTATATATCAACAGTAAATGGTAATAGAGTGGAGAAAGTTAGAATGGCATTAAAATTTGGAAAATAGATTTTAATAATAAAAATAACTGTATCTTATACTCAAGATTTTCATCTGTATTAATAAGTGAAATGATTTTTTTCTATAAACGTACACCATTCCAAAAAAATTAAAAAATAAATGGTAAGACTCAGAAATTCATGACAAAAATGTGTAAAATTCTATTCTAAAATTCTTTCAGGACCTTGGTTTTCCTTTGATTCTAATTAGAGATAACATATGTTTCGTCCAATAAGATTCTCTGCCTAAAAGATTGTAGTGAGATGAGAGCCAAGGCAAGAAAGATGTGAGGTCTGTTGTTGTTTTCTTTTTTTTTTTTTTTCCAGCAGTTTTCTTCAATCCTGAGACCTTTAGGATAGAAAAAAACATTTCAAAAAATGACTTAAATGTAAAAATAGGTTAAAATGCAAAGGGAACTCGAAATAAGCAAGTAACGCCTCATGCTGTTTTATAGCAAATTCTGCATCAAAACAGGCAGCATCTAAGAAGAATGACACATACTCCTTTGAACTTTGCCAAGGCATGAACTGTATTCTTGATGGTGTCTGTAGGGATGATATCTGAATTGTCTCCATGCAGGTAATCTTTTTTGGAACTCAGAGTAAGTTGCACTGAAGTTGCCACCTCTTTAATGCTGTGATATTTTCTATCTCGCTGAATATGGAGAACTTTTACCATATCTTTCCCATAGCCAGTTCGGACAAACTCCACCTCATCATTCTGCAATGGAAACACAGGCATCTTATTGAAGAAGGCTAAATGAAGGCCAAAAGTTAGGTGCAATTTATTTAAGCCTTAATTTTATTAGGCAATTATAAAAGATGAGATTCAGAGTATATATGGAAGCAATATCTCATTCTGCTTTTGAAAAAGAATGAGAACTTGTATAGAAAAGAGAGAATCCCAAGAAGCAAATCAAAATATATCGGATTGTTCTGAAGACTGACAGGTAGAAGGCTTTCTTGATAATAATAATAAATACATTAATAGGACCTCCTGGGTCAAAACTATACTAACTTGCTCTGCTTTATTTAATCGCCACTAACCTAATTCTTGTAACAGCACTGTAAAGTCCTTACAATCCCAGTGTAAAATGGGAACTAATATTCCCATTTTACGGCGGGAGAAAGTGAGTTTCAAAGATATTAAGTGATCTGCCCTAGTTCATATGGCTAGTGAAGGACGGAGCCAGGATTTGCACTCAAGTGTTTTGACTCTAAATTGTAGAATGGCAACTACGCAAACTGCTTTTCTTCTATAAAATTTCTTGACTGTATTAGTTGGAAATAATTGCATGCCCTTTATATATAGAGTGATATTCCGGAGAAAATGCTTTGTGATCAATAGAAACAATTTGAAAATTGCCTTTTCTACTTGCTGCCGGGAAGAGGAGTAATTAGTGACAGGGTCCAGATTACCTTCAGGAGTGCAGAGCCGAGGCTATCTGGCTGCAGGGAGAGCTATGCTTTTAGTGAAGAGATAATTAATAGAAGCCTGGTGATTGATTCATTACTACCCTTGTCTGAAGCTGGAGCCTTAGCTCATTAACACATTCATCTCCACTGGTAGAATCCCCAAGATTTGTCCCTGGGTTTTACTGCTGTTTGAGGAAACAGGCAGGAGGGAACTGAAGAACAGAAAAATCTTATTTTATTTAGCACAAAACTGAACATCAAAATGATAATGAAAGACAGTGACAAAAATAAAAGTGAATTAAAAAACAGCATGACAAAGAAGGAACCTCACCTGCAAAGCACACTTGGGATATTCAGATGAACCAAGAGCTGCCTAAACATCTATTTGAATAAAAAATCACCAGACCCTCTGAGGGGAACTTAGGAATACTAGCCAGCGTCAGAAAGTATTGTTCTTAAAGCGGCTGGGGGAGTGGGGGCGTGCTGAAGGCTGCCTCCAATCTTGGACATACAGCTGGGTAGGGCAGGCTATTGTTGGTCATTTAACATGCCCTAGGGAGTTGAGATGTCTCAATTCAGTTCTTTCTTGTGAGAGCTTAGTTAAGGAAAACTCTTGGAGAGGCCTCTGGAAAGCCTCTGGCCCAATATTTGGGGACTCATCCTGAAGAAAAGGGTCAATAAGAAAACCAAAGGAGCAGACTCAAGGGATCTCAGTAAGAACTGCAAGACTGATGGGGAAAGAGAAACTTGTGTGGTTGTCGTAGTAGCTTTGGAATCAAACCAAGCCCAAATTCATCTCTGTCACTTAGAGCTTTGTGGCTTGCAACAAGTAATTTAATGTTTCTGAGCCTAAGTTTCCCCATTTGTGCAAATGGAGAGAAGCAGCTCTACAAGGTAGATGAATGTCTACTGGTGAATGTCAAAAGCCTGGCTTAGTTCCCAGTAGCTAGTGGTACACCGAAATTAACCCCTGCAATAGAGGCCATGCCATGCCTGGCTGTGGAAGCAGCAGCAGCGGAGGTGGCAGAGGGGACCTTGATTAAGGGCACCAGTTTTCAGAGTGGAGAGCACTGGAGGCAGTAACAGATGGAAGGTTCTGGTGTATCTTGAGCCGCAAGAGACTCTATCTGAAGGTAGAAGGCATTTGGCTGGGTTGGGGCCCTTGCGTGGTATAGGCTAGAGTCTGGAATGAAAGGTCTCTGAGATTATCCATCATCTCCAACACATACCAGGACTCAACAAATGTTACTCCTTAGCTTCATCTCTGCCCCTATATATTCAAGCAACAGTAGTTTAGCCTATAAAGGCAGTGGTACCTATGCAGTATGTAGAAAGATTAAATGATAGCTGCCCTCCATATCCTCATTCCTGTCCAGCTCACCAGCATCATATCTGGCCACACACCATTGCAAACTCTGCTTTAACTATGCTGAGCTAATCACGGCTGCCAAGTGTTACATGCTTTGTCTGTTGGCCTTTGGATTTTCTGTTCCTTCCTTCTAGAACACTTCTTCCTCCTCACTACCCAAGCACCAGCCTCTTCACCTGCCTAGCTTCTTCTAGACAGCCTTCAGGTCTCAGATGCTACTTCTCTCAGGATCCACCCCAGCCCTTTAAGTCTGGAGTAGTTGCCCCTTTTAGGTGCTCTCAAAATACTTGTTATTGCCTTATCAGAATATTTATCAAATTACATTGCAACTGCCTCTTTATGTGTCTGACTCATTCCAAAACAGTAAGCTATGAAAGCAGGAACAAGTTTGATCTTGGTCACCACGGCAACCGCGGCACTCAGCACAATGCCTGGAACATAAGTAGGTGCTTAATAAATGTGTCATGAATGAATGGATGGTGCCACCACCGCCTCCACTGCTTGTGTGATGACACAGAATAGTTAATGAGAACACACAAAGGATTTCAATGCAGGAAGAGCCACTTAAGCTCAGACCCCAATTAGGAAGTCCTTTTCCTGGGAAAGTGGGGAAAGGAATTTATGCCCTCTGATTACCACAGCCTGGAGATCACAGGCACAGCTGGCCAAAGAACAAAAAGCTAGGAAGGGCAAAACTGAATATAGAGAGAGTCAGTGAGGCAGCACAAAGTGTTCACATTGCTAATAAGACAGGCTTCCAGTGAAGCACAGTCATCCCAGACCAAAGATCATGCAAGATATGTGCAGGATAGGTCAGTGCTCCTTAGCAGGATGCTGACTGGGCAAAGCAGAGGTTTGCCCTTGAGCAAAGTTCGAGTAATCACGTTTACTGGCAATGAGTCCATACGAAAGGAACTAATCATCTGAGCCTGGAGCACGTGGAACAAGTCTGATGTGGGACACCCAAAAGTGTCCCTGCACCCAAAGAGCAGATAATGGCCTGGACCATAACTGAGGCTATTCTCTCCCAGTTATCCAATCATAGAAATCCGAAGGAGGTGTCAGACCCCCCGCCCCTTCCCTGCCCTGTGTAGAATGCAGGGAATGGTGCAGAGATCTTACACAGTAAAATACAAAGGGTGATCTCTTCTGCAGAGTGGGCAGGTGGCTGAAAGGACGGGCTTTGGGCTCTGCAGTCAGGCAGCCCAGGCGGAATCCTTGTTCTGCCACGTATCAGCTCTGAATGGTGGCAAATTTCTCCATGTATAAAATGGGAATAATAGTAGTGTCCATCTCTAAGCATTGATGTGAGGATAACATGAGAAAAAAACATAAAGCATTTAGAAAAGTGTTTTATCAATAATCATTACTCAATTAATAAGCACTTATTAGCTATAATTATCATTGATAAATAATCACATCAAATTTTGCATTAAAGGATCTTTCCAAGTATTGATAGAGATGAATAACTAGAGTGCATACCAACCGAGAGCTGGAGTGGTCAAATCAAAGGGCTGCTGCTGTAATAAGACCTACCGCCCTCAGATACATTGGCCTTCTTTAAATGTTCATGAGTACTGATACTGACCCCGTTGGTTGTCCTTCCTCAGGCTTGTATGGTTGCTTGAGAAGTTATAAAAGTAAATCAATTTACTCTGGACAAAATATCAGCAGGAATAATTTCCTTTTTTTTTTTTTTGGAGACAGGGTCTTGCTCTGTCACCCAAGCCAGAGCGCAGTAGCGTAGTCACAGCTCACTGCAGCCTCAACCCCATGGACTTGATGATCCTCTCACATCAGCCTTCCAAGTAGCTGGAACTACAGGTGTACACCACCACATCTGGCTAACTTTTGTAGCTTTTTTTAGAGATAGGGTCTCACTATGTTGCTAAGGCTGGTCTCAAACTCCTGGGCTCAAGCGATCCTCCCACCTTGGCCACCCAAAGTGCTGGGATTATAGGTGTGAGCCACCATGCCCAGCCAGGAATAAATCTCCACACAAGAAAAATCTCCTTTTCTTAAAATATAAAGGGATTACTTATCTGCAAGTAATGTTGGAGAGAGCGCTCAGGGATTTTAAATGGCTCATATATTTTCACTTCTGCAATAAGATAGTAAGTGTTCTCTTATTTTCAGGCCATAATGAAACTGATATAGATTGTCATTACAGGTCTCTGGATTCTTACCTTAGAGTCTTTTAGCCTCTAGAAGCCTCAGTGGATGGATTTGGGTTGGAACTGTGTACTCCACGATGTTACAACTAAAAGTTTATTTGTTTAGGGGAGAGAAGAGGTGGATCATTCTGAGAGAGAATTTGTAGAATTTCATTAGATTCCAAAAGGCTTCATGACTTGTAAAAGTTTAAGAACCATTGCTTTGTGTAATTGGTGTTCAAATTGTTAGCATCACTTTGATCAAACTGACTTTGCCACTGTCTGACAAGTAGCCATGAGGTGGCAGGAAGGAAATGACTTGGTCATTTTTAGTGTACAACTGCCTGGATGCAATGGAACAGTATTGTAAAGGTTAAGGCTCTAACGGCTGACTGCATGAGTTTAATTTCTGCCTCCACCATCTGCTAGCTGTATGGCCCCATGCAAGTTACTTAATTTTTTTGTTCCTTCCCCTTTTGATCTGTAAAATAGGGTAATGACAGCAGCTATTTCCTATCATTGTTGGGAGGTTGAAAGTGACTAGCACATAGTGTCAGTAACTGTTAGCTATTATTATTATCTGACCTGCCAATTTGACAAAAAAAGGATTTTTCATATTCGTTTCCATCAGTAAGTGGTAGGGAGACATCCTTGTTTCTCCCTTTCTTTTTTTCTTTCTTTTTTTTTTTTTTTTTTTTCATTTTTAGAAACAGGATCCCACTATGTTGCCCAGACTGGAGCATAGTGGCATTCATAGGTATGATCTCACTACTAATCGGCACA